GTTGTCGTCGCTCTCAGAGTGGCGCTCTGCATGCTTGGGGTGCGTATATACACTTACATATACATACTCAAATGTGAACAGTCAAATACGTGCGTAATAAATTTGTATGAAAATATTATTTTTAAATACGAACATTTTTAAACGATAATCAAATGTAAAGTATTCATTTTTACTATGCATTATTTCCCTCAGTGTACTAAATTGAAAAATCAACGGCCATTTTAAGTAAAGTGGGGCCAAAAATGGCACGGTTTGAGCCAAGTTGGCAGCCCTGCGTATAACTGTACGTCCCTCCCCTTTGTGTGAAAACATCAAAGCGCACGCCACAAATCGGAAGAGAAGCTCGGCCAAACACTAACATAGTATGTGTAAGCGCCCAACTATTTTATTGTTATTATACACCCCATGTCATAATTATAAATACACCATATATTGACAAGTTTAAAATTTGCTACCCTACTACGCTTTATCCTATTTTTACTACGCTTTTTTATATTTTCAACTTATGGGCAGCAACTATTTGTAAATCACAATTAATTCAAAAAAGTGGTAAACAGGCCATGGCTTCCAGATCTAAATGTACATATACTTTTACTGCAAATTGTGCAAGAAGCGTCTGACCAAAAACATCTCCAACATACATAAATAGCCACCACCGGTTAAATTGTCGCATAGCAGACAGAAAGATTCAATGTCTGAGAGGGATACGAAGTTGCACAAAGTGCTCACAATGACTGCGTGTCGAACTACTTCCACGATGGAGTCGTTGCCGCAGATAAAAAGCGGCTCAACAGAGGCAAAAGATTAAGTTCGCCTTAAATAAAGTAAATTTTCACTTATTTATGACGAAAGTTCTGGGCAAACAGTGGCAAACAGTGTTTAGTTTCTATAAGTTCGGTATTTGGAAAAGGCCACTGTAAAAGAAACAAATATAATAGAATTGATACCCAAAAGAGTACAACTGTTATATTTTTGTTTTAAAACATAAAATATGCATATGAATTTAAAATAATAACCAACTTTTATCTTTTGCTACGATTTTTCATTTTTTTATTCTGATTTTTCTGGTATTTTGCCGATTGCGTAGTTTCGTGAGGTGCTAACCCTGTCCGCAACGGAAGAAAGCATACTCAAATCTCCGAACTCCAGTTCAAATCGTACATTATCCCATGCAACCATTCGGACAAATTTTAGAGTCAAAATAGTTTCAGAATTCAAAGTTGTATGAGCTCAAAGAAGAGGCAGAAAAAAGCATATTTGCCTTCTGAGAAGGGTACGCAATTACGAGTCGAAATTAAGTCATATTAGAGTCTCAAATATGCCGCTTTTCTGAGTTTTAAATGTGAACTTTATTACTTTTGTTCAACTCACAATTTATGACCCCAAAAGAGTCCAAAATGTCTAAAGTCTGGTTGACTGGTTAAAAATCATATTTTATTTTTTCGAGTCCGGAGCACTCATGAATTTTGAAGGAATATATACGCAAGTATGTGAGCGATATTCTGGCTATTATTTCGAAGAATTGCAAGTGAAATATTTATATATGTACATATGTACATTTGTACATTCGGACAATAACCACGCCTACCTCCCATATAACGGTAATTTTCAGAAAAACGAAAACTGCGATATTTTAGTAACTACTGAAGATAATTCACTCAAAATTGATGTTTGCAATGAGTTTTAGACAAAAATTAAGAATATTACAAAATTTTGGCAAATGGGCGTAGCCACGCCCTTTTATGGTTACATGTGTATATCTTGGTAACCGCTGCACCAATTTCTTCCAAACTTGGCACAGTTGTTGGTCCTGGTACAGCATACCAACTGGCCGAATATTTCTAAAATCGGACAATAACCACGCCCACATCCCATATAACGGTAATTTAGAGAAATACAAAATCTTCGATAAATCAGTAAATATTGAAGCTAATTTATTCAAAATTGATGATTGCAACAATTCTTTACCAAGAAATACGTCTATGACAAAATTTTGGAAAATGGGCGTAGCACCGCCCACTTGTGATCACATATATGTATCTCGGTAACCATTCTACCAATTTGTACCAAATTTGGTGTGGTTATTGTGCTTGTCACATAGAAGAAAAACGTTGAAAATTATTGAAATCGGACTAAAATTGAGGCCGCTTTTCATATAACGGTAAATTTCAGATATGCTTGAAATTTCAATATTTCGAAATTTAAGGACGCTAATTTACTTAAAATGTATACACCCCGGCTTATCATGTAGCGGTAGCTTTCGGAAAGGTGGAAAACATATATTTAATACTTGCGCCGGGGTTAGACTTTCTTACTTGTTAAGATATTGATTAGTTTAATATGTCTGCATCACTAACTAAATTTTTACTAAATTATCGAACAAATTTTTGTCAATATCTCGGAAACTGAAGAAGACATCTAAAAACACATAACACCAATCCAAAGATCTTATTTCAAAATATATAACTGCACCTATAACTAAAAATCGTCAAAATTGCGCTTACGGCAATCTTTTTTTTACCCAGGCGACGATAAGCAAAAAATACCAAAAACGAAAAAATAATAATTTTTTTCAAGAAATTTATATTATTTAGAAAGTACAAGTTATTACGTTTATTTTTATATATACATAAATATATAGAACAGTTTTGTCGTAGTTTTGCCAAGTGAAATTAGGCAGCAAAAAAAATGAAATTAGGCCGCCGAACAAAAAAGGACGCGGCCTTAATTCACCCGGTCTAAATTCCATCCCCCGCTCCGAGCGAACAGTTATTTAGTGTAGAAGCTTTAATTTACGACGATTTAAGAAACAGGTGAAATGTGAGCAATTTGAGATACGAGTTCAAACCTTAATTTACGATTTGGTGAAACGAAAATGTTGATAAATAGGTTACTTTTCAGGCAGATTTATTGCTTTTCATTACAATGGGAAATATTCCTAGGCAAAATGGAGATTGCCTACCAAAATTTAATCAGTAAAAAGTGTCACAATATCGTAAGTTTTTACTGGTTTTGCATTCAATAACTATTTCTGATAGTTTTCCTCCCAATTTTACTCTAAATTTTGTCTTTGCGCTCTAGCTGTTGGTATTCAGTGGAAATGTCCTTGATCCGGTTGCACTGTTAGTTCGTTCTACGCGCCGTTTAGGCTGGGTCCGGTAATTAAAAAGTAAAATATATAACTCTCTCATAAGTGTTAGAAAGTACCCAGATCGTGAGGAACGCAAAACCACATTTCGTGCCCGGAATCGAAAAACCAGCTGATTTAAGTGCTTTTGCTGTAGTTACTTAAAGCCCAAGACTAAGTTTATCGTTTACGATCCAATAGTGCAACGTATTCGCTCTCTATTACCCATTCTTCCAGCGTGAAGAACGCTTTCTGATCTGTCCACCTGCGGAACCCACGGGCTCGCGTGGAACAGCGCTATTATGGGTATTTACCAGGAAGTCAGTAAAAAATTTATTTATGTATATCCAAATAATAAGTAATTTCAAATGATTCATTGAACACCTGGCAGTTTTCGCTAAAGGCATTGCACACCTGGCCGTTTTCATTCAACATATTTAACACGACGAGAAAGCGAGCCCTTGCCCGATAAGAAACGCCATTTGAAATATTTACCGATAAATTAAAAGATAAAGAATACAAGTGGCTAAATTCGGAAGAGACCGATTTTTTATACCCTACGTATATGTACATATGTATATGCTTTCCAATGTTTTCACAATTTCAGTATGTATATATTGTGTACTAGATCGTTCCCACCCGCTACGCTGAGTGTATGAAGTTTCTACGTGCTACATTAGGTGTAATTTATTTTAATTAGGCCAAACATACTTAAAATATGCCAAAATCAGGAGACCTCAAATTTTTTTAGATATCTTCAAAATATTTTCAAATTAAAACTATCTTAAACCTCTCTCTTGTGATACTTTTTCATACTTATGTATATGTAGTTTAGAAATGAAGCCGTTTCAAAATCATTTCGATTGGTACCCATATTGTAATAATTCAATGAAATAATTGAAAATTTTGAATTTTAGTTTTTCAACCACTAGCTCCTATAATTCAAGTTGAATTTGAATTTTCAAACATGTGGAGTGCCTACTTGACATATGCTTTTTAGAAATAAAGCCTTCCTTCCTTCCTTCCTTCCTTGAAGACTCTTCCGATTAAAACCTAGATTGTAATACCTCATTAAACTTATAATAGCAGGCTAGCAAGACATATCTGGCCTAAGCTTGACAAACGTAGATCTCGCCCTCCCCTCCACTTGGAGCGACCACTGTTGCGGCATGTTATTGGAGCTCTCACCGGGCATTGCCTGATGGGAATCCGCGCCATTGGAATGGGTTTCCAGTGAAACGACTACTGTCGTAGTTGACGCGATGAGGAGGAACTCGAAAGCGTGGAGCACTCAATAAATTGTGTGCAAGGAATCAATTAAGTACATATCTTCCTTATTTGAGCTAAACTCGAAAAATCCTGAACCCATAGATCCCTATAAATACAGTTTCTTCCGATATTAGAAGCAATGTAGTTTTGTGTCATAATCCGTGGAGCTGAATGATTGATGATGATGAAACACGTTTTTTTTAAATCATAAAATAACAAATTTCTCCTGACGGTGACGCTTTTAACGTGGTCTTGAATGTTTGCCTTACCACCATTAACAAATTTCCACATATCCTACAATGCGCTTCAATGCTATTTAAGATTAACGCGAATGTACTTAAGTATATGTTTATATTATTTAGCATTACAAATAGGATTCAATAAACATTTTAACAGCACTTGATAAATTAAAAATTTTTTATTTTTATGATTTGTAAATTTTTTATTATTTATCGAGAATTGGGATTCTAGCACAGAAATAAAAAGATCTTTTCTTTATAAATTATGGAGATTGAAAAGCGTTTAAAAATTGAGATTTCCATGGAAAATTATAAATTTTGTATATCGAATTATTTTTTTTCTATTGTTTAAATATGCATGTGCCGGCATTTGAACCGCCTCACGTGGAATTCTATTCGACATCTCTACCTACTCGGCTACCTATAAAAATTAGATGGGTGTCTGCATTGGCGTTCATTAATAAACCAGGACAATTTAAGTGTGGAGCAGTACACCAGGACAATTTGTTTAAATCAGGACAAATCCTCGAAAACCAGGACGTCTGGCAGCCCCAACGTAGTATTATGGACATCTAAAACTATCGCTTGCATTTAGTTTTACTCGGTAGCGAGCCAACAAGTGTGATTTTGTCGCAAAGTGTATTATATTTTTATATTTGATGGGACAACTGTTCCTGCCGCGCTTAAGAACCAATTTTATTTAAGTAAGCGGAGTCAATGCTAATGAACTGTTTTCTTAATTCTCTTGCAGATAACGCACTGATCCTGTGACCTATGACAAAGTGCGGTATTTACCACAACAATAACAAAATTAATTCAAAATGTGCCTTTCGACACCGATCGTTTCCTCTTCGGAAGGTAGTACCTCAACAAAATCGGCTGTCTGTGCCAGTACAACCAATCTGAACAACAACACAAATAATAACAATAATAACGTTTGTACGTTGAATGCAGTCGGATGGAGCGATCACGACGAAAATATAAGTAAATCCAGTATTAGAAATAGAATATGCGACCCGCAAACACAAAAATCATGCGCATTCGTACGTAGCAACGTAACTGTGGCCAGTGAAGAAGATGAGCAATCCAAAGATTTAGTTGATAACTTAGGTTTTAATGAAGAAAATGCCGTCTACAAAGAAATTCCACATGCTACGGATTCGAATCAATCCATCCAAACACAGGCATGCAGCAGCGAATCCGAATACAACCCACAGATCAGGTGGTTAGACTTGATAGCCCAGATCTTTTTACATGGCGGTGCTCTGTATGGAATTTATTTGCTATTCCAAGCAAATTTCTACACATTTTTGTGGGGTAAGCAAAAAATTAGAATTAAATGCGCCACTGAGATTTCTGCTATACCAACGGTGACCATTCGTACCGATTTTGGCGGGACAGTACCGATTTTGAGAAAATTGTACCGATTAAGTCCCGGTTTTCAATGTTTTCTTTATTGATTAAAAAAAAATAAATAAAAATAATTTTTCGTACAAAAGTGGAGCACTTTCGTTATCACAAAGAGCACTGATTATAAGTGAGCCATAAATATAGCCAGCATTCTTATTATTGATATAATTGATAAATTTATATAAAATATTTAATACTAATACCTTAAAAAAATCGTGGATATGAAAGACATAAGCTGTAGATAGAGTTGCGAAGATATAAATAGGGAAGAGACATTTAAGCTTTCTTCGGCTATTCCCCTTATTCCTTTTTATGAAAGTGTGACTCATTATCTAACAAAGACGATGTAAGTCAGAATTTGAAACCTTTGTACAAAAATTAGCGATATTCGAAAAATTTTCATCAAAATTTTTAGCTTTTTAGTTAGATTTCTTAGAAACATTCTGAGTATGCAGTTTTGTAACCGATTCAAATAAAAGCGCAAATTTTAAGTAGCTAGGACTTGCCTTTGATATTTGGTAAAATTTATGAAAGGTGCGCATAAGTAAAAATTTATTGATTCGTGTCACGCGTTTAGAAACAATAACCCAAAATTATTATACAAATAACCCGCACCCAACAAAATACCTTTTGCTTGTTCAAATTTCGATTCTAAGAACAAAATGTTTTTAAATAAACAAAAAAGTTAATAATAACATTTGAAGGATTTTAGATATTGGGTATGGTAGCACGAAATGTCACAATCTGCTTAATTGTCAGGTTGTTAATATGGCGATGAAAAAGTGACAGTTCTAGAAAATCTGATTAAAATGTTTCACATGGTGATGAACATTTATTCCGATTCGTCGAATTTTTTTAAATGTTCTACAAATTTTTAAATTTAGATTTACATGTTTTTTGAGATAGTACTTAAGTTATATTTTCATTAAAAAAAAAAAACATTTTTATTTTATTTCTCTCTGTTTTGTTTCCAATACAACTGTATTCAGCCTTTTCCCCGCAAACATATTCTGAGCGTTCAGAATACCCATATGAGTCCGAAAGGAATCCTAGGTAGGTAAGAAATATGAGTTTCAAAAACAACAATTTTTTTACTCTTATATGAGCCAGCACCTTCTGCTAATATAAAAACAATAAAGTTTCGGACAAAAAAATAACAAATGTACATATTTGCAAATATAGTGCGTGAAATAAGACCCAAAGAACTACCTAAAATAAGAGTCCGAATGTAGTCATTTATGAGACCGATAAGAGCCTCAAAAAGAGTCTGAAATGATTCATATATGAGGCCGTAAATTGTTTTAAAAGAGTCCAAAATATATGAGGTATATGAGGCCAATAGGAGTCCAATATGACTCAAATTGAGGCTCATTTGATGTATGAATTTAAGCTTATAGAAGCCGACCTTCGGAGGAAGGGAAACACCGTCATATCGGACTCTTGAATGAGCTCATTAAGAGCGTTTATGACTCAAAATGTTTGCTGGGTTTATTCTAAAAACAAAATTGTATGTTCGGATTCGATGCTTTAGAAATGTCCCCATATTTGGCCACAGAATTCTGGTCACCGTAGCTATACCCCATGCATATTTATGTATGCATGTACATTAGGGTGGTCGTTAAAAAAATCAAATGAGCGATTTTTTTCAGTCTAACTCCTTCAATCGGTAGCACTACAGTCACAGATATCACATACAAATTTGGTCCCCATTGGAGACGGTTAAGGCGTGTCGCACAGGGGCCAAAGTTCAGATTCCTCTATAGAGACACAAAAAATTAAAATTAATTTTTTTGCCAACTCATATCACATAAAAATTTTGGTCCCGATTGGGGTCGGTTAAGACGCCCTCATAGGGTGATCTTGACCCCTGTGCGCCACGCCTTAACCGACTCCAATCGGGGCCAAAATTTATGTGTCATATCTTCGACTATAGTAGCATCGACGTAAGGGTTGAGGGCTAGGAAATCTGATGTAAAAAATTTGCTACCTTGTTTTAAGGACCACCCTAATGTATACACACACACACACATGAATGGAAATTCATACATAATTTTATGTATAAGGGAACTATCAACGGGACAGTCCTACATATTCTATTTGAAAAATAACCAAAAATAAATTTTCAAAATACATATGTACATATGTATGTGCATACACATATGTATGTAAAACATATAAAATCAGCTTTATTTATGCCATCGTACATTCATATTTACCAAAAAATATGGTATGAAAATGTTTTAGTAGGGCAATCATATGCGTTCCTATTTATAGAAGGTGTAAAAGAAAAGACGCCTACACATTTTTTTAATATTAAAGTATCCACGAACTGCCATATTTTTTTAACAATTTAATATATTTAATGTTATTATGAATAAATAAAGCACAAATATACATACATTTGTAAAGCATGTTCTTACGGCGGCCGCTATAGAAAAGTGACTACAGTTGCGTACTTCCAGTCGGTAGGGCCAAGGAAAGACCCAAAAGCTGTCGCACTTATGCCGATTTCGTTTCTACCGAAAAATGCAACCTTCTCTTTGCCCTTTACGCACAAACACTAAGATATGCCCACTTCGTAAGTAGAAATACTATAAAGATTATGTGTATAAACAAAAAGTTCACAACATATAACTTGTATAAAACAAAAAAGAGATCTTGTATTTCAATAACAATTTTATAACAAAAAACATGTTATATGTTTGTATCTTTTATAGCCCAACTCTAACAGTGTGAACAAAATATATCTACAACTTCCTTTTTACAGTGCAGCTACCCTGGGCTTTTTATTTGTTTTGCTAACTTAACCACTAACAGGTCTATTCTGCGCTGGTAATAAAGAGTTTGTAACCGGTAAATAAAGTTCCTGTAAATTTTTAAACCCTTTTCGCATTCTGTGTACTCTTGTAACCGGTAATTTTTGTTACCATCTCATAAGCTGGTAACAAATTATTGCCCCGTAAAATATGCAATGCCAGGATTTCACAATTCTTCATAGCTGAATTGCTGAATATTTTAACTGCATTACCAACGTACCTAGAATCGCGGTGACAAGAACTGGTAACATTTTTTGGTAATACAATTTTCCGGTTACAAAATCTTCGGTAACGTGCAGAATAGACCTGTAACAAGAATTTAATTAGGTATGCATTCATATTCACAGTTCACTTTGGAAATTTATATCGCCTGAATTTCGTTTAACAACAAAGTCCAAATTTATAGAGCTTAACTACAGAGACTGGTCTTTTGTTTATTGACCACTGTGTGTGAATATTAACATCGATAGTTAAACCCTTGTCAGTGGTTAACTATGCACTATGAAATCGGCTTGTAGGAATTCAATAAATTACGAAAACTGACGGTTTTTATGGTGATAAATTCTTTTGAAATACTGTAGGGCTGATCGCAGAGAATACAAAACTTGATCAGGGAGTTTTGGAATCGCCGTCATCTTGAAAAAAACCGAGGTGACCGAGGTTTTTTAAGGGCCTCAGGCAGGCTGGGTGTTCGATTAGCCTTTTTTCCAAAACCGGTTTGCGAGTTATTCAAAAAATTGCAATTTGAAAAAAAAACGGTTCCCGATTTTGAAATTAGCAAAAAAACCGGATAACCCGGTTTTATTTTACACATTTTTCATACATCAAAAATTCGTATATTGATATGAAGTCATGACCGAAAATAAAGCTAAACAGTAAAGTACCTTTTATTAAGAAAAGAGCAACGCCTTTTTGTATCAAAAGTAAAATAAATAAAAATCAGTGAACAAATCACGTTTGGTCTAATTTTAACTTTTTTTTTTAATACTTAATTGCATTTTCTATGACTTTGAATGGCTAAAGACTAAAACTATTTAGGGGTTCCACTTAAACAAGAAAAAGCCTTAAAAACTTGGACAAACTCAAAACTTTCATTCAGAAAAAAACCGTTTGTATGATGAAAACAGTCCGCCTTATTTGATATTCGAAAAATCAAGATAAAAAAAAAACCGCATATAGAAAACCGAGTCAATTACCCTAGTACATATGTACATATCGTCGTTTAAAGTGCAAAACCGCGTATGTGAAGTTGTAGAAATTATTTTCTAGAGCGAAAAAACAGTCATATTTCAAAATGACTCTCTTTTTTATAAAGCAATCGCATTTCTGGCTAGTATATTTCAGGACGAATGGATATGGATTGAGCCAAGAGCTTGTGCGAGCAAATCCAATTTTTGGCAGCCAATGTCAGTTACGCGGTTTTGCAGAATGACGATACGCGGTTTTGTACTTTAAACGACGATATGCTCCACCTCATCACAATCATTTATTACAGGGGGCCATATTCCTACTTTTCAATCAAAAATCCACTTTTAAAACCTGTCATTATTTGGTTAAAACGACTTCTCACATAATCACATAGGCGACCTATAATAGAATTTTAGCAACAATATTTTCCACCCATTAACTCCGATTTGATGGGGTTTTTTGATCTGGTTTTGAAAAAATGGCAGAGAGAGTTAAAAGTCCCACAAAAAAGTGAAACAAACAAAAACCTTCTGCGGATTAAAGGAGATGAGTAAAACCATAAAGTTTGATGAAAATGAATTGAATTTTTCCCGAAAAAGTAAATGAGATTCGGTAAAATTTTCTTGGGATTTGACTACCATGTACACATAAATACCAAAGTTGTCTGTTATCTGCAGGAACCACCCCTGTTTTGAAGAGTAAGTAGGGAAAATAAACGGTTTTAATATATAAAAAATATAAATAATATCGCGCCCATGATTAACCCCATCTGATTTAACATACATAACTATGATAATTTTAATAATTTCAAAATAACCACTTTTCATTTTAGTGGTCGTCTGTGTTTGGTGCTCGGGCATTGGCATCACCGCTGGAGCCCATCGTCTCTGGTCACATAAGTCGTACACCGCGTCCTTGCCATTGCGAATTATACTCATATTTCTTTTCACTATCGCTGGACAGGTAATATTTACTGCCATTTTATGCAAATCACATAACTCAGGAGTTTGTTTTATATTCCTGGTCTTCTTTCCTCTGTTAACAGCGCGACGCCTACACTTGGGCCCTGGATCACAGGATACACCACAAATTCTCTGAAACGGATGCCGACCCGCACAATGCCAATCGGGGCTTCTTTTTCGCACATGTCGGCTGGCTATTCCTGACGCCACATCCCAAAGTGATCGAGAAGCGCAAAGTGATCGATATGTCCGATTTGGAGAATGACAAAGTGGTCATGTTTCAACATAAATATTATATACCATTGTTCGCGTTGATCTCGATCGGATTGCCTGTACTTGTGCCATGCTATTTCTGGAATGAGAATTTATGGTTGTCGTTTTGGATAAATTTCAATCTGCGCTTCACTTGTACATTAAATGCTGCCTTTTTTGTAAACAGTGTTGCCCATATGTGGGGTAACAAGCCATATGATAAGTGAGTAGGAGTTGTTTTTAAATTTTACGATTTTGGTAATATTTAAATTAATTAAATTGTAGAAATATTAGCCCCGTTGAGAGTCCCTTTGTGGCATTTGTGGCACTGGGGGAGGGCTGGCATAACTACCACCACGTTTTTCCCTGGGACTACAAGACTGGAGAGTTCGGCAGCTTCAAACTAAACATAACGACTGCCTTTATTGATTTTTGTGCTAAAATAGGCTGGGCCTCTGGAAGTAAGTTTTATTATCATGCATCCTTTAACGCATTAGGGGTATTCTCGAAGTCAACTACGTTGCAAAAATAATATTCCAAATTTGCAAGAGTACGAGAGCATCCCTTTGCAAAGTTGTAGCAAGCAGAAAAATACGTTGCAACATTCGGCAAAAAAAAGTAGGCGCAAAGAGAGGAATGAGGGAAACACGTAGCAACTTCAACAACAAAACAGCTAGCACAGGGTCGCATTTATCTTGCTATGCTTTTTTGATAAATATTTGGATGGGTTTAGTCGTTGCATATCCTGCAGCAATAGGAACTGTAGTTTCCAATGTATGTATTTTGTTGTTATGCAATCCGATCCAAGATTTCGAGAATACCTCTAGTATAAGTTCATTAAGTTACTCTCTGAATTTATTAACTTGAATATCTTGGCATTTAAATTGAAAAAAATACATACATACTTTATTAAAATCTTAATTGCACTCATCGTTTCGAAATAAAAAACTTCGCTCCCAAATGTGTTCAATCTTTTTAGCCCTATGCGAATTGGAACCAAAATTAATAGATTGTACTATGTAATTGACACCGCGTAACCATATCAAGAAAATTGCACGAACTTTTTACGTTCCCAAGTACAGGTGGGATAATTTACAAAGCTGTGTTTAAAATTTTTCTAAAAACCTAAATTCTCAACGTTTCTTTATAACTAATCGGACAATTTTTGACTCAGTTATTTTCTTAGCAATTTTAAGTTCCTAAGCAATTTAGAATGAAAAGTGTTTAAAGTCCTTAAAAATGGGTTATTTTGGAAAGAATTTTCAAGTTTGGTTTGGAGGTAAACCGCATTCGGCGTTGGGTAATATTCAGTGTAATTTTTCCTTCTGTATGGTTCGATTTTTTGCCCCCAAATTATATTCATTTAACTCAGGTGTTGTGAGTTTCGTCGAAGATTGGGATTAAGATATGCCGTGGTGTCATTTTTGTAAAAGAAGGTAATTGCGTTTGTTACATTGTAGCATGACTTTACCTATAGAAAGGTAAAAGTTTGTGATTTTTGTCCCTATGGTACGTGTTTTGAGAGTCAATGTCATTTTGTTATTATTTTGAAATGAATGCAAACGTTGAAATTAACTTCGAACTCGTCTCAGAAATGCTCTATTGGATTGGGGTCGGGCGATTGAGCTGGTGTCTTCAGTATGTGAGTAACGTTGTACAGCATCCAAAGTCCCACTCTTTCGGTTTCGATCATTGTCGCGTTGAAAGTAAGATCCATTGCCTATATTCAAGTCAAGTGCTTTTCTTTAACCCTTCGATGGTCACGTGGTATATTGTTACACCAATAGTACCCTGGCCTATGATCGTAGACCATTTTTGTTTTGAAATAGGACAATTAATTATGTGAATATAAATGATAATACAGAATATTTTGCTTAGCTGCCCATTCTTCTTTGCACGAAAAACTTGTGCGCTTAACCGAAAAGAGCAATTAGGCGAATTTTCTTTACTACTTCAATGAGGAAGGTATCTGAACCCCTATGAAACCAAATAATGGAAGAGCACTTACCACGTAAAAATTACTGCAAGCAGGTATCGCTAATGTGAACGTATGTTGGATGCATCTATCGGAGCCGTTTCCTTATAAGTGATAAAAATAATGCCGATGATGCACATTTTGGGGTACGTATCCTAACAGGTCTGCGCTGGTAACATAAATTTTATAACCGGTAATTAAAGTGTCAATTTCTAAACCTTTTTCGCATTTTGTGCTCTCTTGCAACCTGTAAATTTGGTTACCATATCATATGCTGGTAATAAAATATTGCCCCGTGAAATATGCAATATAGGAATTTCCACAAATCTTCATAGCTGAATTGCTGAATATTTTCACTCCATTACCAATGTACCTAGAATCGCGTTAACAAGAAGTGGTAACATTTTTTGGTAATAAAAATTTTCGGTGACAAAATGTGCACTTAAACATAAAGGTAGCAAAGCAAAATATACTATACTGTATAGCACCAAACATATTTTTGGAACTTTTCTCAATCGCATGGGTTAGATTTTAAGACAAAATATTTGTGAATTAAAAAAGAGACTAAAAGAAATAAACTGCAACAAGTTTTTAGTATTTTTGAGAACAGGCATACAATTAATTGTATAAATAAACTTATTAAAAAACTAAAAGCGAAATTCCATCCAAAAAAACTTAATTAGAGTCCATTGAAATTAGGAAAATTTAATTACTTACACAAAATGTGCAGGCATTCCTCATGCTCATTTTGCCCGTAAATCTCCTACAACTCACACAGCCCCCTCTGGAATAGTTATTTTTAGTTCGAGGACAGATATGAAAACGACCGCATAATTTGCTACGATCGTAGACTACGTGACAATTGCAGGGTTAAAGTTTCTTTCAGAATATTAAGGACTATTTTTTCGTTCGTTTATGCTCTCTCGCTTATGATGATTTTGTCTCCATTTTTGTTAAGTTGCTTACAACACTTACCATTGCTATAAATTTTGGTTCCATTTCCCATTTACTCATTTTGTGCATCGTGGTATGTTTCCATATTTTCTAATTCGATTTGGTGAAGATCTAAGAGATTTACATGGTTTACGAGGCATTTACACGTTTAGATCAGTGTTGATATTTTAAGTACAATTGTACTTTTTTCAGTACAATTCGTTTTAAAAAGTACAAAAGTACAATTTACCGATTTTAAGTACAATTTTAACATCAAAAATACTTTTTGAACCCAACGTTCTAATCTTCACTAGCACTTTGATTTTTTGTCCATTTAAATTTAAGGTACTGGCCGCCTTCACCTGCTTGAAAATATAGTTTTCGTGACAATTCATACGAAGCATATTTTTTTGTAGCATACCGAGGGTTTTGCGAGATCTTGCTTGATTTCATCTGTAATTTTAGTAGTTTGGAACATTTATTATTTACAATAATAAAATGGAGTGACGGATTCCAGATGTTTTAAAAATATGAATGCGTTTGGAATTCCTTGAGAAAAGTATGCCTTTAAATGCCCAGTCTACAAAATTTCATCTCGCTTCCGAGAAATAAAAGGAGAACGCAATCGAAATGTTCAAGCAGGGCATACCTATATTCCATATCTTATTACATTAAACGAGCAATTCTTGCATGTATATATATATATATATATACATAGGATTCTCAGAAACGGCTCTAACGAGTTTGATGAAATTTTGTACGCCGATGATGTTTTGGATTTTAAGGTTATCTGAATAGGCATTATCTTCGAGAAGACTCGTATAAGGTTGCCACCTGTTCGAAATTAGTTACAAATTAATTAATTCCTTATAATATGGGTATCAAATGGAAGGTATTTTAAAGATCCCTAATTCAAAAATATTTTTAATATGGTTGCCACTTATTTTGAATCGTATATTTATTTAATTTTTGTGTAAAGAAAGGTAAAGTATTACTATTCATGGGTACTAAGAGAAGGTTCTTAAGCAATGCTTTCCTATATACAAAATGTTATCTCTTAGGATAATAGTGTAAGGTTGCCACTTGTGTTCGATTCTACGCAATTTATCTAAAGCATCGCAATATGGATATCCAATGAAAGGTATTGTTGAGACCTTTGGTCAGAAAATATTTTCCAGCAGGGTAGCCACTTTTCTATGTAATACAAATTTTTATTTTGTTAATTTCAATCAGCATTTATTTTATGTATACACAGTACATATACGCTCAAGATATGTACCATTCATTCCAGCGTATTTCGGAATAGAGTTGCCACATAAATTTTAGAGTAAGAAATATATTTAATAGATATCGAAATCCTATTTTTGTTTATTTCCAAAATATTTTTTAAAAGCTATCCAAATCTTGAAAACTGTAAAAAGTGTATTTACTTCGGGCAAAGCTCGGTCAACCTGGTACTATAAAAATGAAATTGTGAATTGCAATTTTACGTGTAAACGAGATTGTGAATGGCAATATTAGTGATGAGCCTTTTGGTGATTGCATTTTTTTTTATCACCGGCGGGTGAAATATCACTGTGATTTATTTTCATTAATATAAACTGATCTATCTACTGTATTAATTTTTTATCGTTATTGCCTTCATCTTTAAATACACGACCCGCGACAAAGTCGCCCGCCTTGGGCTGTTTATTTTATTTTATTATTTTGCAAATTAATTTTAATTATATTTTAATAAAAGTATAGCTCATTGTCTGATAGAAACCATAAAAATAAATTCAGAATTTTTAGAAATTTTGTGGGTAAACATTTTTCACTTTCTTCCATATAACGAATGTTCGTATTTTATTTTATATAAAAGGAAATGCGCTACACCGTTTCGATTTCTTTTTTTAAATTTTGCGGAAATGGCGAAAAGTACAATTAAGCTCAAAAACATACACTTTTTTCATTAATTTTGTACAATTTAAAAATCCCAAATATCAACACTGGTTTAGACGAGAACCCTTAATGTACAGTCAAGAACAATTTTCTCCAACATTTCTTAACCGAATTAGATGAGTTGCATTTGGTGTGAAATCTGGACACCAGGCGCAGATGTATTATTCTTCCTGCTAGGTGCGCCAGTATCGATTCTACCTAGCTAGAAAAGAAATTTATTTTATGAAAGAATTCTGTCCATCAGTCAATCAAGTAGAAAAAGTAAAAATTATTATTCTTTCGGAACCATACTAAAACCTCACAAATTTTTAATAAAACATATCGCACGTTCAATAATATAACGAAGTATTTCAATGGCTTTATTCAGCAGGTTTAAATAGCGGTATGAAAAGACATTTTCATACATTTTTCAGTTTATAAACCTTTTTTAAAGCTATTTTATTTTTTATGAATAAGGCCACAAAATTTCGATTTTGTGATTTTATAAAAGTAAGCCATAAATTAAAAAAAACGTCTACGACAACAAGTAGCATCCAAACAGTATCTTTTTTTATTACCTGAAAATTTGGATAAATAAGAGCCTTATAACATTAAAAAATAAAATTGCAGCATGGTAGTTTTTTGCAAATTTTATATGTAAAAAATTAATATAGCGAGTTTTGAAAAAATAGCTTTGACATGGCTAGCTTTTTTAGCTTTTCGCCTTTCCTCCTCCACGAAGATTGGTCTGTTGCTTTTTTACTACCTCTTCCACTAGGCACCGAAACTACTACGTTTTCTTGCAGTTTTCAAAGTTCATACGAAGGTGGATACTGCCAAAAGTGTATAAAGAAGTATTTTGCAAGAGTAGTTAACATTTGATACTACTTTCTTTCAGAGTATAGAAAGATTTTGCACTGTGTTGTTAGTGGTCATGAAACTACCTTAAATGCTGATACGTTACCTACCAAAAACTAAAAATCGGAAAAAATTTACATAGCGCACTTTGCAAGCTTATTAATTGCATAATGAAATCTCCAAAAACTTAAATTTTGAGTTACAACTCTATATTATTAACCGTGCGATATATGAGATACAAAGTTTTCGATTCGCGAGGTCATGGGAAAATGACTATTCTAGAAAAAGTTGAAATCATCAGGGTATTAGAAACATACTGAACATAACTTTGTAAGCTAGTTTTAAGTGTTACATAATGGTATTAAAACTTAAATTAAAATATGCATACATACATATTTTGTTTTTATTTTTTGCAGGAAAGTCTGTGTCTTCTGGTATGATTGAGCGACGTGCCGCCAAATGTGGCGATGGCTCACGCTTTCTCAACGACGAATTCGTGCACAGGGATCAAGTCTGGGGCTACGGAGACGAAGATATACAAAACGAGGATGGCGTTGAATTGGCCAAGATGAAATAAATTGCATAATTTTTAACTGCATACATACATATACATATGTATGTACATATATATAATTGCCAATGGAGGCTCTTCAAGCGTGTGTATTAACTTCGACATTTGTTCAAATTTTTTGTCATTTAGATTTAGGTTTTATAATTACAATAAAAACGTTTTAATTCAGCTAGTTTAATCTCTGTTCACACTCTGTTTGCCTTGAAATTCAATGTACACACAATTTTCATTTTTTTCGTAAGTATGCAAATTCGAATGTAAGAAAGTAAGAGTTTAATCGCTGCTATGACCATTGAACTGACACCGGCTTGCTTCGTAATATTCGAAAATTAAAACTTAAGTTATGCACAGACTTTTTTCTGTTTAAATACATACATACAGACATATCGTCAGGAGGTGCATGACCCTACAAGCCTGGCATTAGCTCCAATGCATATACATATGTACATTAACCTACATACATACGTATATATGTACATTTATTTTCTAATTCTGATTCTTATGCTCATTTTCTTATTCGTTGCTATGTACTTTGCGATGAAAGGAATTTTAAATTAACTACACACAATTAATTTATTTAAATACTTTCTATCCTTGAGCAAGTATTCACATATGTATATGTATACGTATATATGTGTGCGTACCGAGTGGTCTGTTTTTGAAATAATGGCATTCCTTCAGTTAAGTTTTTGATATCGTGCGGGTCGGTTCAGCCGCGGCTTTAGATTTTCCTACCCAAAAAAAAGCTATCGCGAGCTAACAATTTCTACAAGAGAAATTTCAGGCAAGCAGACTGAATTAACTGTTTATTTGAAATTCGCATATTCTTTTGTTTTCAGTGAGTGAAGGGTCAAAACTACCGCAAATAATCTCAGAGTTTCATTTCACTGTGATATTTTAAGATCTATGTATATATTCATATGCACGTACCTACATATTTGTATCAGGATGTCCCAGGAAATATGTTTTTTTTTTTGATGATGCGAATTAGACGGTGACCATCTGTCCTGTATTGTACGGGACAGTCCTGTTTGTTAGTCTGTTGTCCTGGTAATTTTTTTGTTTATACGCAAAATGTCCTATACTTCTTTTGAATGCCCGCCTGCTGTTGTGTAGTTGTTCGAAGTGCGCACTACCATTCCGCAAGGCCTCGGATCAAGCCCAGTTTCCGACTAAAATAAACCCAAAAGAAAAGAAAATTGTAGCAGAGGGCTGCTTAACAATAGGTGGGACATTGCTGGAGCCATTCCAATAGTCAACACTAACTATGCAGTACCTCAAAAGTTTCAACCGAGAAAATCTACTAAGTACTACGCTTGACTTATAAATCCAATCAAATAAATATCCTTTAAGTAACAAAGCCGATAAACATATAGGTTTATACACGTATTCTAATATAAATAGCTAGCCGGATTAGATATCAACGTTCGGGATCTTTTCTATACTGAGAAAATCGTTTATTGAGAGAAACACGTTTAGTAGACGTAACCCTTTTCTCAGCGTAGCGTACTATGGTTGTACCAAAGAAATGCTAAATGTCAGCCTAATTTGTCCAAAAACCAATTTTACAAAAGTATCTCGACTCTAGCCACTCTAAGCTAGTTCAAACCAAGCAAATTTGGAACATAGCGCCCTAATTTCATTGCAATGAAATGCACCGTGTAGAAGTGCATTCGGAAAATGCATATAAAATTCCATGGTTCCATATAAAATTCAATGCTTTCGTTTGGTGCAACTAATGTCCCCTAATTTAGATCCTTAGGACTGCCGTACATCGTGAGTCTTAAAATGACTGTTCTCTGATAAAAGTGAATGAATTGACATTGTATTTGGCCTCTTAACATTAATCGCTACTAAGCCCTCTAATATAGACAACACTAGAAGTCCCTGGTTCTTATCTGTACAATAAACATCTAATGCACATTTTCTTACGTGTTAAAATGAAACGTATATTTATTTTTTTTTCATACTACTGTATTGGATATATAGGATACACACATATATCTAGCTTAGAGTGAAATGTTGCTAACTCCACTTTTATGCAATGCTTCGAAAAGGATTAAGGTTTTATTATTATTTTTTGTTAATATTCAATGAATGGAAAATTTGTTTAATAATAATAATAATAGAATGGCGTTAACACATATCTTAGTGTTTGGCCGAGCTTCTCCTCCGACTTGTGGCGTGCGCCTTGATATTGTCACACAAAGCGGAGGGACCTACAGTTTTACGCCGACTCCGAACGGCAATTGTATTTTTATGAGAAGGTGTTTTTTTCATGGCAGAAATACACTCGGAGTTTTGCCATTGCCTGCCGACGGACGACCGCTGTTAAGAAAAAACCTTTTTCTAATTTTTTTTGCGATGTTGCTTTGACCAGGGCTTGAACCCTGGTGCTGATGAGTGAAAGCGTGCACTGCTTACCACTGCACCACAGCGGCAGGCAAATTTGTTTAGAGGCACCGAAATTCTGATAAGTCCAAAATAATACGATATCTTTTAATGGGTCCTATGGAGTTTTGCTATGACCCAATCCGCAAACTGTTGTATTCAAAGTTTCGCGAAATAAGTACCTACTTGAAGAAAATTGCTATAAGACTTTTTCCCAATAAATAATTTTATTTTACCCATTTGAATTCAATTTTCTTATTAAATTAATTACAAAGGGTATTTATCTAAACGCGTAAATGTCTCGTAAACACGTAAACCTTGTAAATTTAATTAATTTTGTATGGAAAACGAGGCTTTTACGCATTTTTTACAAAATTGAGTATCCGGTAGTTTTTTTTTTAATTCGCTTTGATTTTTCAATTTTATTTTTTTTCGAAAGTACTCTTTTTTATATGGAAGAAAATGCATAACACCGTCAAAAAACTAGTCACACACTGAAATATTCAGGCTTTGCGGTGGTTTTATTTCGTAGAAAAGAAATCTGTTATGCTCGATTGTTTTTGAGGACTTTTCAGCGCCTTTTGATGCAAGCTTCCCAATAAAAAATATCTTCGTCCGTCCCACTTCCTAAATTCCTAATATCGAACTCGTCAAATTTCCAACATTCGTTATATATGTAGAGTCAGTAATGCATTGAAAAATAGCGTTCGTTATACTGAATATTCGTTATGTCGACATTCCTTATACTGGAGCATTTTTTTGCATTTTGTGTATTTTGTATTGAATTTTAGTTTTATTAAAAGAATTTCAAGGAAAAGTAAAATATACCATGTAAGTGTGTACGTTTTTTTTTTATTTTAACACGTAAGAAAATGTTGAAATTTGCACTGTGACATAGTCTACCGCAAGTTTTAAGAAAAAGTTAAGTGCAGAAATGGATTCCTCACGTCAAAAACCTTTTATAGCAAGTTTTATATAAAATTTAAGAATTCTAAGTAAAAGAAAAATATTTTCGGAATTTGGCAAACACCAAATTGATTTTGGACCCATTCTTACGACGCCATGTTAAAAAAAAATTCAACCGTCCTACTGTACACACTTTTCAGACGTAGAAAGGTCGACAATTGTGCGGTATTGAAGCTAATATTTTTCAGGAAGTTTGTAATTTTCATATGTATGTAGATGCATATGTATGTCCATATATCGCTGACTTACTAAAAGTTCATCGTTTGACGCGTTTGAAGTTTTTAATTTGCTCCCAAAATGCAGAAAAAATAAAATCCTATTATCTTCCTACGCGGAAACGATTATAAATATTTAGCACCAAACTCTTACAGAATAAGAAGCATGTAATTCGCATCGTTTGCTCAAAAATTTGTACCCTCGTAAATTTTAATAAATGAACGATATGTTCATACATACAAATGTACATTAATACATATCCACATATATCCTTCAGAACGCTTCTTCAAGGATGGAGAACCAAGAAAGCTTCGCTAGACATAGCGATGCACCGCAACAACAACCGCCAGAAACATCGATGACAGCAGAAAACACAATGAAACAGAGCTCCCAACGCATTAAACGCGAAGCGAGTTGGCCGTCGGTGCTATTTTATATACACTTGAATATACTTGGACTCTATGGTGTTTTCGTAATGTTCACCGGCGCTTCATTCCTGACAATTTTATTCAGTAAGTTCAAATCGAGTTCACCAAAAGTTGTTGTGTAAACGCCATTGATTTCAAATTATGTACATATCGTCGTTTAAAGTGCAAAACCGCGTATCAGCAAAATGCAAAACCGCGTATGTGAAGTTTTAGAAATCATTTTCTAGAGCGTAAAAACACACATATTTCAAAATGGTTCTCTTTTTTATAAAACAATCGCATTTCTGGCTAGTATATTTCAGCACGAATGCATAAGCAAATCCAATTAATGTCAGTTAGGCGGTTTTGCAGAATGACGATACGCGGTTTTGTACTTTAAACGACGATATTTATGTCGTATGTTTATACATAGGTATACATCGATAAATATATATCTACGAGTTATGTACATAACGTTGCCTTAATATAGAAAAGTCGTAACTCATTTTCCTTAGAAATTTAGCTCTGCATAAAAGTCGGTAGATTACTCAATAAAGACATAATCGAATTTAAAACCAACTACTTGTTACATCAATAAAATACTTTTTTTTACTTTTCTTTTCTTAAAAACAACAAGACCTGTTTAAAATGTCTTGGGTCAAACATATAAAAAAAATTGAAACCTTAACTATTTTTAAACGTCGTTTTAAAGGTCACGTTTTTTTTTTTTTATGTATCCAACGAGACCATTTTTTTTAAATTCTCTATCTCAGGAGCAATACCGTTACATTTATTTTGCCATCTGTTCTCGATCTCGAAATTTTTGATTTTGTCACACAAAAAAGGTTATTTTCCACACTGTGCGACCCCTTGCAAATGACCTAAATGCATTTATTTTTTTATTTTTAAGCCACATGATATGAAATAGTCTCATTTAGGTTATTTAATTGTAATTATCCTTTCGTTGTTGTGCACACTGGCGCCTAAATGAGACTATTTACAGCCACTATGGTCTCGCAACAAAATATATGGATGCATTTTTATTACATATTTAATACGAGTAGAAACATAAACATTTTTTTACCCGGAAATTATTTTTAAACATTTTATTAATTTATTTAGCCTTCACTTTGACATTCCTCGGTATTTTGGGCGCGACAGCTGGCGCTCATCGGCTATGGGCGCATCGAACATACACAGCTAGCACGTCGCTGAGGCTCTTCCTGATGCTGTGTCAGACCTTAGCTGGACAGGTAAATAATGCCCCAAGTATAAAATATATTAAACAATTCCAATATTATTAGAGTGTGAGAGGAGAAGTGGCCTTACAAATTTTTTTTCTGTTTTGTACTTAACGGCTTGAAATACAAGATCCAAATGTGATGAAATTTACAACAAAGGTTACTTATTCCTTAATTTTAAGGACAAAGCTGCATCTAGTACATTAAAATTTAAAAATAAGTCACTTTGTTTTAAAATGTATCACAATTGGAACTATTTTAAGTAGTTAAGCAAAAAAAAGGGGTTAGGCCACTTTTGCTCTCACGGCCTCAATTACACATACATATGTAATAGCGTGGGCCGAAAATCCGCTTTTTTAGATTCTGGATTGGTAATAGCAAAAATATGGTTAATTATGCTTTAAAATAAATCTGTGTGAAATGTGAAAATTGTTGTTCAATATCCTAGACGTCTTTACCAATCCAAATTCTAAAAAAACGGATTTTCGGCCCACGGTAATATGTAAGTGCGCTTTAGGCAAATGACTTTAAATTAAATACACCTATGAGTAGAGAATGCGGAGCCATGAAAAATCTAAAAAAGTAATGTAATAGTGAATGTTTGAAAAAAAATGTAAATATTTTTGTACTAAAAAAACATATGTATGTACTTATAAATATGTATGTGGGAAATTCTTTTTCAACCGAATTATTACTGCGATCAAAAACTGGTTTCTAATTTTTTATTTTTCTTTTTTGAATCGATTGTGATAACAACCCCCAACCGCCATACAAATAGATACATATACATATATATCGTCGTTTAAAGTACAAAACCGCGTATCAACCGAATGCAAAACCGCGTATGTGAGTGAGGTTGCATAAATTACACTGGATCACAAATTTTAGTTTGGTTTTTGTTCTCCAGACGCCACTATCCAATTTCTATGTAGAGGGATACCGAAAATCGAGTTTTGTTTTCTATGGATACGTTTTCAAGATATTTTCAATTTACCGTTATTCTGCTTAAAGCAAAAATTTGTTCTTTGTCTTAATCACGTATATCTTACGAACCAATTTAACAATCTTAATATAAAATGCGGAAAATTAAAGCTAATAAAATACTCCATCGACCGTATATACATCACATTCCGATAGAACGTATAGTTTCTGACAAATTAATTAATCATTCCATTTTTTATTATTTTTAAATGAAAAAAATCAAACTTTAACAGAAGAAAAATTCAAAAAGTGACAGGTTCTGTGCCAAATTTTTGCATCTGTGCTAAGGACTGTTCTGTTACAAACAAAAATTAATGGATAAATAAGAAATAATGAGTGGTCAAATGCGCAACGATTTTTTGTATGAAATATAAGCATAAAAGCGTGTTACTCAGGTGTACGTGGCGTATGAGTAACTTTCTTTCCTGCTCATTCTTCATACAAAAAACCGTTGCGTATTTTCATTTGACCACTCATTATTTTTTATTTATTCATCGATTTTCTTCATTAGTAATTAGATTTTTTTTTTGTAACAGACCAAGCTTTAGCAAAAATGAAAAATTTGGCACAGAACCGCCTTCTTTTTAAACTTTTCTTCTGTTAAAGTTTAATTTTTTTTTTTAAATGGAATGATTAATAAATTTGCCAGAAACTATAAGTCCAATCGTGTGTATATATGGTTTATGGAGAATTTTATTAGCTTTCATTTGTCGTATTTTATATTGAGATTGTTAAATTGGTTCATAAAATATACGTGATTAACAGGAACCAATTTTTGCTTTAAGGAGAATAACGGTAAATTGAAAATATCTTGAAAATGTATCCATATAAAAACAAATTAACTCCAATTTCGGAATCGCAGAGCAATTCCACATGGGAATTGAATAGTGGCATCCACAGAACATTTTTGCTGTAAACCAAACACTGTAAAAATACTCATATTTCTAAAGTGTTCTCTTTTTTATAAAGCAATCGTATTTTTGGCTAGTATATTTCAGGACGAATGGATAAGGATTCAGCCAAGAAATTGTGTGAGCAAATCCAATTTTTGGCAACAAATGGCAGTTACGCGGTTTTGCAGAATGACGACACGCGGTTTTGTATTTTAAACGACGATATTATTTGACCAGAAGTTTAAGCTATTAGCTTAGTTTATATGGAAGTAATTACATTGGCTAAAACTTTCGTAAAAACTAAGCTGCTACTTACTGGCTGTCAAATAAAACGCCTATTGCCCAACTTCTCCGATATTACGTTCGTTGTTTCCCCAGTCATAAGTGAATTTTTCGCAAGCGTTATATCGAGCCCTAACCGCCAAAATAACGTAAGAGACATATTTTTCAAAATTTCCTGTTTGATGCAGAAATGCATCTATGTGCTCTAGGAATATTTCTGCAACAAAAATAAAGATTTAAAGAAAATTTCGCTAACGTTATTTTGGCGGTTAGGGCTCGATATTATTTCACTGGGATGGTAAAAAGTACATGCATACTTTTAAGTTTATGCATCTAATAGTTCGTTCCCCTAGTAGGCAGTGTAGTCTAAATTATACTAAAACTTAATGGGCTATAAAAACTGTGTACTCAAAATTCCAATTAATTATACCAAACTGTAAAACAACGGTTGGAAATGTAGCATAAAAGTTGTTTAAAGCTAATAACTGCAAAAAGAACATTCGGAAATGCATCATCAAAACAAAAAATTTTTCGAATAACGAAAAAAAATTAATCATCAAGAGCACCCAGTGATTTTGCAACACTGTGCATGCGTTTCGCGGCTTCCGTATCCATGTTGAAAACCTGTATTTTTCACGCCATCTGTGGGTCATTAGCGTTTGTAACTTAGCTAAACTTATTAACCCTTAAAGGGTAACTTTATTTTACATACTTTAAAGATAATCTTCGTCGAATCGACGAAGTCCGCAAAGTTTTTGCTGGGAGAGATCTGGGATGAAGATCAAGGCAGTCATCACCTCAATTTCAGTAATATATTCCATGTTTATGTTATAACCAGCCCGGTCAAGTTAGATATTCAAGGTTACAATAACTCGCATACAACTGAAAATTGGTACGAGTGTTGCGAACACCATTATGAATGAAATGTCTAAAGTCCCCATCGATCCCATGTCTGCAAAAAAATTTATTCAAGGTCAAAGGCCACATAAATTGATTTTTCGCATTTTTCAACAAGCGGTAAGGTAAGGTTCGTTACAAAAATAGGTGAAATGAGAGTGTAGGTTATGCAATTGTTTATCTATAAAAACCGTTAAAACATATTTAAACCTAAAAAACTACCATTTCTGAGATATAGTGATTCAAGAAATTGTGTTCTCCATAAAATGCACAATTTCTTCTGTACTTGTGGGGTAGTGTATTCGTCGCGTTTTCTTAACCTTATTTCTCCGGTGGGCCTACGTCACGACTTATTCTAGTCCTAAAATTGTAGCCCAAAATTGAATTTCAAATACTTAAAAAATATTCCAAATGTTAGTCAGAGTTATAAGAGATCCGAGTGCCATATTTTATCAAAACCGTGCAGCAGTTTCTAAGTGAATAGCAGTCTCGCATAGTGCATATTTTAATTTTGATCGAATTTCAAATCATCATAGCAATGAAAAGAGTTCTTAATTAAAAAAAAAAAAAAGTAAGTGCACCTGGGCCACAATTTAGAAGTGAAACTTACGTTACTTATCTATTTTGTCTCATAACCAACGTATACATACACACATCTGCTTTTGTTTAGGTTATATTTTTATACCCGAGCGCACTTGTGCACAAGGGTATATTAATTTTGTTCACATAACGGTTGTTTGTAACAGCCAAAACGAATCGAGATAGATATAGACAAATGTATACATAAATGATCAGGATGAAAAAAGAAATCGATTAAGCCATGTCTGTCTGTCCGTCCGTCTGTCCGTCTGTCCGTCTGTCCGTCTGTCCGTCTGTCCGTGTACACGATAACTCGAGCAAAAATTGAGATATCTCAACGAAATTTGGTATGTAGGTTTCCCTTCATCCAAGGTAGGTTGGTATTGAAAATGGGCGAAATCGGACTTTAACCACGCCCACTTCCCATATAACGGTAATTTCCAGAAATACGAAAACTGCGATATTTTAGTAACTACTGAAGATAATTCACTCAAA